TAGATAATTCAGTATAATTAATGAACTGCCAGAAAGGGCCTCTTCATCAGGAACTGTAGTGATAGGATAAAAGGTAACAGGTTCAAACTTAAACAAGGGAAGTTTAGGTTAGATATAAGGAGGAAGTTCTTTACTGTTAGGGTGGTGAGGCACTGGAACAGGTTGCCCACAGAAGTGATAAATGCTCTATCCCTAGCAGTGTTCAAGGCCGGGCTAGACAGAGCCTTGGGCGACATGGTCTAGTGTGAGGCATTCCTGCCCGTGGCAGGGGGGTTGGAACTAGGTGATCTTAAGGTCCTTTCCAACCCTAATTATTCTATGATTCTGTGATCCCCTGAGATCATTCCCGCTTGTCCTGTCCCTACAGGCCCTTGTCCAAAGCCTCTCTCCAGGTTTCTTATATGTCTCTTTAGGCATTGGAAGCTGTTCTAAGGTCTCCCCAGAGACTTCTCTCCATGCTGAACAAGCCCAGATCTCTCAGTGTGGCTCCAGAATAGGGCATGAAATAGGGAAACAGCATCAATGTAGAGCTTTTTATTAATGTGTAGTGCTAGATCATTGGAAAGAATTATTTGGGAGAAAATACTGGTGGTTTTTCTATTGAACATAAATTTGGTAGTTACCTGTATGTAACATTCATTTAATGTAGTATGAAATCAAATATCATACAGAGCCCCTAAATGTAGAAAACCAAACAGACATAGGAATGCAAACATAACAGATTATTTTTAAATAATAAGAGCTGATCTGCTTTATGGACATTTGTTGTCCTTAGATCTCAACAGTACTTGCCATGGAAAGTCCTTCATCTCCATTGTAGAGACAGAAAAAAAAATGGGTTGTGAAGAAGGGAAATAATCTGTGTGTGCACAGCAGCTCACTGGCAGCAGCAGATAAGGATAGTCACTTGGACTCCTGGAAATGTTGACAGCCCTTAAACAGTAGTGCTGCCCTGAGACACATTCTTTTCTGTGATGCCTTTATTACAAAACCATTTCTAAAGATTGTTTCAAGTGGAAAAAAACATATTTTCATTCTGTTGCATAACATAAGATTTTCTAGAATGTAGAAAAAGGGAAATGTTTACTAATTTTGCTCCTCATGCTCTGGTACAGATTTCATCCTATTGGATGAAGTGGTCCTAGACACATACTGGCTATGGTTGAATTCTGTAGTACTACACAAAGCAGTAACACAGAATGAACTCTTGCTCCAGCTTGTCACTTGCCTTGAAAACATCCAAGTGTGCTAAATGCAGCTATTGGCTACATTTCATGTCATTGCACTGAGATGAGGAAGTCCTCTTTTCCAGTGATGGGAATGACACAAAGCAGTATAAGGAAGAATGGCTTTTAAGCTGAAAGAGGATAGATTTAAATTAGACATAAGGTCAAAGATGTAAGCTGTGTCTTCTCTGAGCAACCTGTGCCAGTGGCTCACCACTTTCACAGAGAAGAACTTCTTCCTAAGATCTTACCTCTGTCAGGTTAAAGCCATTCCCGCTTGTCCTGTCCCTACAGGCCCTTGTCCAAAGCCTCTCTCCAGGTTTCTTGTATGTCTCTTTAGGCATTGGAAGCTCTTCTAAGGTCTCCCCAGAGACTTCTCTCCACGCTGAACAAGCCCAGCTCTCTCAGTGTGGCTCCAGAGCAGAGCTGCTTCAGCAGAATCTCTGTTCTGGTTTAAAGAGAAAATTCCTGAGGTAGGAGTGAGTTACAATGAGGAAACACTACAGTGAAGGAAACACTACAGTAAAGGAGACACTACAGCAAAAATACTCTTAAGTGGAGGTGAAGTGTAGAAAGGGAAGGCCACAATCTGTGACATACTGGACTTTCAAGGTGTGTTACAAAGACTAATTTGCCCACTTAGGCAAGTAAATTCTTTTCTCTGCTGTATAGATCAAGGTACATTGGCAGAAGAGTTCTGCTTGTTCAATGCTACTGCAAGATTACTGTCATCGGAAGTAGTGAGGGTTTTGGTTGAGTAAGATTGAAATAAGGACTTCAGGAATTCAAATAACTAGGGGTTAGACAATTCAGGTGCTTAAGGTTGGCAGATAGGATATGGTATCTATGGAACATACACTGTCTTTGTGGCTGGCAACAAGAGGCCATGTAGGATGCCCTAAGACTCTTAAAGGAGGACTATATAACGAAATTCAGGTGCATCTGGATTGCTCTTATGTACTGGCATGTAGGAGTCTAATACTGAAATCCCACAGATACTTACTATATGGGATACTTGGACTTTTTGTCATGAAAAGTTGTCAAATGACATTCATTTACAGAGATTCATGTTTTTTTAATACATGGAAAAAGGAAGATAGCTTGAGAATTTAAATCAGAGCAGGTTTTCTGGACTGAGTAGCTTGAAAACATTACCTACTATTATCAGCTGAGCAATATACAAGCAGAAGGAGGCTGCAAGTTTTTGATTGGGTTACTGCAAAAAATCTGGGAGTTGGTTTGATTCAATTATGAAAAAGAAGTAGAAGGCTTTAAAAATTATCTTCCCAAACAAATTGTATTTCAGCCTTTAAATCTGTTTTTTACGCTTACAGATTGTCATTTATGGTACATGAACTCAGTATACAACAGTGTACATAATAGTAAATATGTTGTAATATAGGTATGTTTGCGTCTTGTGAATATGGCACAGTGATATTTTATGGAAACATGTCAGTGATAGGGTTTCATCTGGTTTTAAAATGTGTCTGTTTGCTGATGATTTGCTTGAAGAATGGAGATGGTGAATGAACATGAGATTTGTACTCATGATCTGTGTACAACACAGTTAGCGTGCTACGGTGAGTAGAATAATTTTTTGTTTGGGAGTCCTGCACTAAATCACTGTATTATTCTTCCCCACTACACCACTCTGGGTTGCAAATCCTGTGGCCAGCTCTGGGGACAACAATACAAGACGGATGTGGAGCCTTTGGAGTGAGTCCAGAGGAGGCCACAGAGATGCTGCGAAGGCTGGAGCAGCTCTACTATGGAGCCAGGCTGAGAGAGCTGGGCTTGTTCAGCCTGGGGAAGGGAAGGCTCCTTAAGGGGGGACCTTAGAGCAGCTTCCAGTGCCTAAAGAGGTCACAAGAAACCAGGAGAGGGACTTTGAACAAGGGTCTGTAGGGACAGGAGAAGGAGGAATGGCTTTAAACTGACAGGGGACATTTAGATTAGATATTGAAAGTTCTGCCTTGAGAGGGTGGTGAAGTGCGGGCACAGGTTTCCCAGAGAAGCTGTATTTTCCCCATCCCTGGCAGTGTTCAAGGCCAGGTTGGATGGGGCTTGGAGCAACCTGGTGTAGTGGAAGGTGCCCTTGTCCGTTGCAGGGGGTTTGAACTGGATGACCTTAAGGTCCCTTCCAACCTAAACCAGTCTATGTTTCTGTGATTATTTGAATCCCAGGTTTTCCATCAAAGCATAATTTGGAAGACATTTAAGAAGTTCACAGGCCTTCTGCTGGCCCTTGCCTAGTCCAGCATTTTGAGGACAAAGGAGTAAATTGGAATTTACAATAGCAGCGTTGCTGTATAATTTTTTCAGTATCTACTTGAAAGGGCCTATTTTTTATTCTCACATGATTTGTTTTTGGTGGGGAATGAATTCATTCAATTGAAAAAGACAGGAAATACCTGGTAATTTCTATTGTTTTGCCCAGTGTTTTCTATAGGCTTTTGTTATTGATTGTTGTGTGTGGTCTGGCTTTGAAGTGTTTCAGACCATGAGACTTCTATCATTCCTCTGGGGGTACTATTTCATCTAACAGATTTCACTGATGGGATTTTTTCTGCTAATCCTGGTATCAGTTTTCTCTGGCTTTGTAATAAGTGAGTTCATTATTCTTTGAAATATGTGGGTGATCAGTGGACATTTTCAAAAGATTCCCTTCCAAAGTGGAAGACAAGGGAATTTTAATCAATATACAGGATACATAGCAGGAGAGAAAAAGATTTATCCAGCTGGATATACTTTCTGAGAGAAACATGTTTCTGAAGTTTGCAGCATACTTTTCAGTGGCACACAGTTATGATACTACTCCTGAGGAACTCATATACTTTTTCTAGAGACCTATAAGCTAGATTGTTATTTCATTGTAAAGGTATTGACAGTGGAATTTCTAAGATTGAAAAACGCTGTGCAGCCTGAATATGTGAATCTTTCCATCATTTCAGCCTCCTTCTTGTGCTACTTTTTGCTGTGTTTGTATACGTTATTTTGGACACATGTCGCATGTTGTAAAGACCAGTGTTGTACATCTGGGTCCTGGCGGGTTGAGAACTGTGACTAGTAAATCAGTTAGCAGTTAAGCAGGGCGAAGGCAGAATAATCCTCTTTCTGGCTTGAATGTGATCCTCCCTCCTTTCTCTTTCAAAAGTAAGGACAGAAATGATTGAACTTCAGAACTCTGTCAAAGGAATACAACTGTTACATTTCTCCTCTTGTAGTTTTTTTAGATTTAGAACAATTTATGTGTGTTAGTTTTGATAGTATTTTTTAAGATCATGACTATTACTGCTTCAAAAGAGCCAGTTATGTGGCATGTGCATTGAGAAACTACAGATATCAGTAGTTGCTTTGGCCATCTGAAGGTGGATCCTACTGGCCCTGAGGGATGTAATGTTTGACTCTCCTTCTGCTTTCATTTAATGTGGTGTAGCCTCATTATGCACATGATTGCATAACTGATACTCTGCCCACAGCATCCATTTCAAAACTGCTTTGGGTTTAGACTTTTTTTCTTCTTAATTTTTCTTCACTTGCAGTCATGAATCTAGTATCACATTGCAGTTGTGTACGTTTCATCATCAAATACAATGTTTATTATTCTGTAACACAGTAACTGTGTAATGGCCTTAAGTAGAGAAAAGTTTCTGACAGCAGTTTATGACTGATCTCTTACGAAAAGGGATAGTGCTTCTAGCTATAGTCTGGGATTGTTAAATGGCACATAAGCTTTCCCAGCAAGTGCATTCATATATTTAAGAGGGGAAAAAGAATCTTATAAAAGGTGGAAACAGCGGTAGGTGGCCTGGGAAGAATACAGGGATGTTCTCCAGGAAGCTAGGGACCAGGTCAGAAAAGCTAAGGCCCAGATAGGCCCAAAGTCTGGCCAGGCATGTCAAGGGTAACAGGAAGGGCTTCTATAGATATGTCACAAGCAAAAGACAGACTAGGGATAATGTGGGCCCTCTCCAGAAGAAAATGGGAGAACTAGCTACCCTGGCTTTGGGGAAGGATGAGTTTCTTAATGATTTCTTTGCCTCAGTCTTCACCAGCAAGTGAAGGAAGTGGTGGATCAACTTGCTAAGCCACTATCATATTTGAAAAATCACAGCAGTCAAGTGAAGTTCCCAATGACTGGAAAAAGGGAGATATAGCCCCCATTTTCAAGAAGGGAAAAATGGAAGACTCAGGGAACTACAGACCAGTCAGTCTCACCTCTATACCTGGCACAATCATGGAGGAGATTCTCCTGCAAAGCATGCTAAGGCACATGAAAAACAACGAGGTGTTCAACTTGTTCTTTACTGTAAGGGTAAAGATCTTGTTCAATATTTGTCAGCGACATAGACAGTGGGATTGAGGTGCCCTAAGTAAGTGGGCCAATGCCAACCTCATGAAGTTCAACAATGCAAAGTGCAAGGTCCTACACCACGGTCAGGGCAATCCCAGGCACAGCTACAGGTTGAGAAGAGATTCAGAGCAGCCTGTGGAGAAGGACTTGTGGGTGTCGATTGATGAGGACCTGAGCATGAGGTGGCAGTGTACACTTGCACCCCAGAAAGCCAACCGTATCCTGGGCTGCATCAAAAGAAGCGTGACCAGCAGATAGACAATGGTGATCCTGCCCCTCTACTCAGCTCTTATGAGACCTCACTTGGAGTATTGTGTACAGTTCTGGTGTCCTCAACATAAAAAGGACATGGAGCTGTTGGAACAAGTCCAGAGGAGGGCCATGAGGATGATAAGGGGGATGGAGCACCTCCCGTATGAAGACAGGCTGAGAAAATTGGGCTATACAGCCTGGAGAAGAGAAGGCTGCATAGAGATGTCATAGCAGCCTACCAGTATCTAAATGGGGGCTACAAGGATGCCTGAGAAGGTCTCTTCATCAGGGACTGTAGTGATAGAACAAGGGGTAACGGGTTCAAACTTAAAACAGGGGAAGTTTAGGTTAGATGTAAGGAGGAAGTTCTTTACTGTAAGGGTGGTGAGGCACTGGAACATGTTGCCCACAGAAGTGATAAATGCTCCATCCCTGGCAGTGTTCAAGGCCAGGTTGGACGGAGTCTTGGGCGACGTGATCTAGTGTGAGACGTCTCTCACCACAGCAGGGGCGTTGGAACTAGGTGGTGTTAGGGTCCTTTCCAAACTCTAACTATTCTATGATTCTATGATTTCTTATTAGCTCCTTTAATTTATTCAGGGTTTTATCTATGACAATAGCTCAGCTGTCCATAAGATATATAACCTCAGAAAATAAGTTTGCCAGCTCCTGTGTACTCTCTAATTATTACTGCCCAACTATGTGTCACAGGTCTTTTGATGCTAAAAGTGATATTTTATTTGGAGAATTTGGGACCTGTATTTTGGAGAAGGATGACATGATTTATATCCCAGAAGAATGAGCACAGTGGTATCCAAGATAGACATGGCCTTGTTCAGAAGTGTCATGTTTATTCAGATTTTTTTTGCCATATGAATTATGTTGCTGGTTATGCCAGTTGGTGATGCCTTTTGTCTCTCTGTTGACCTGACTGAGGAAAGTGTATGGCTTCCAGAAACCTTTCCTCACTTCTCATGCACAAAGGCTACAGATGTGCACAGGACGGTTGCTGGGTCCTCAGTCCCTATTTTTACTCTGTAAGTCTGTACATATTCGTCAGCATATTTTGCTAATACATACCTTAAAATACAGTAAATATCCTTTTGTGTCTTGTCATTCCTAAATATAAAACACATGTAACTTCTTTGTATAAAACAGGAAGCCCATCCTGTCCTACTAACTAATAACACTAAATAACAAAAGATTGAAGCTTTTTCGGTTAGTAATCCAGTTCTTCCTATAAAAAAGGCTGTCAGTAAAAATACTGTAAATATTGGGTGACCATTTTACCTGTCAAGAATTTAAAAGAGGATTTCTTGTGTAGTACTGCTTCATTTCTGTGGCTTGACAAAGACTGTATTGGAGGAAGAGCTTGCCCATATGTACTGATGCTTCCAAATGCTGTTATAAGAAAGTACTTACTAAAAAGAGAGGTAGAACCCAGAAGTTGTAGCAAGAGATGTGGAATTTAGGGATTATTCAGAGGATCCATCTGTGGTCTGAGTGTTAAAATCTGTTTGCTCTATTCTGGTGCAATTTCCATTCTATGAATCTTGACTCTTTTGAGTGAGGACTTTACATTACACCCAGACTGCGTGCCCTTTCTGGGTGTCAAGGTGACTGCAGCACAGGGCTGTCCCTTGGGATTAATAATTCTTTAGTGGGTAGCTCAATGTAGTAATCCCAAGAACATCATTAAATCTTTCCACATCAATCACTTCAATGCTTGTTACATAGAGTTATGCTTTAGAAATGCACTGCAGTGTTTCTTACTGCTGCAAAGTAAATTTTTGAAACTAAGCCAAAGAAACTCTGTTAAATGAGCATTTATTTTTCATTAAGAACATGTGGTGTGAAGTTCATTTGAATGATTTGTCCTATAGCTGCTTCATATTTGGTAATGGGATTTTTTGAAATAAAAAGTCCTGCATTTTTATTTTTCATAATTATTTTGCATAATTCTTGTAGGTCTCCTCTGGGTACTAGAAAGTCTGCTATAAGGTCTCCTTGGAGTCTTCTTTTGTTCAGCCTAGAGAAGCAGCTTCCAGTGCCTAAAGGGGTCAACAGGAAAGCTGGAGAAGGGCTTTGGACACAGGCAGGTGGGGACAGGACAAGGGGCAATGGCTTTAACCTGACAGAGGGAAGATTGAGATGAGCTCTTAGGCAAAAGTTCTTCCCTGTGAGAGTGGTGAGACACTGGCACAGGTTGACCAGAGACGCTGTGGCTGCGCCATCCCTGGCAGTGTTCAAGGCCAGATTGGATAGGGCTTGGAGCAAGCTGGTCTAGTGGAAGGTGTCCATGCCCATGGCAAGGGGTTGGAACTGGATGAGTTTTAAGGTCCCTTCCAACCCAAACCAGTCTGGGATTTTATGGTTGTGTGATTATGTGATGCTGTGATTTATTTTGGTCATAATCAACATATTTTTTGGCATGTTGTGGGAAAATAAAACCCTAATAACATTCAGCATAGGTTTGGAAATCCATACTTCCATGCACATACTTCTCCTGTTCTGTTATCAGCTCCTAGATCAAGTCAGTTATTTTGAGGTTTCATATGATGATCACCTAGCGGTACCCTAATTTTGCCTGCTGCTCCATGCCCCATGGACCTGGCTGGTAGAACAGTCAGAAGCAGTAATAGTTGTTGAACGACATAGTTGTTGTAGTAATAGTTGTTGAGCAAGAGCAAGTTGCTCTTGCTGTCCAAGGAGTTGTTAAAGGCCTGAAAGATGTCACAAACTATCATTGAAAGACTGAGTTCTGTTTCTGAATAGTTCCCTGTTTTCATTGAGGGCCTGATCAGCCACTATTGATGCATAAAATAAACATGAGAAAAGTTTTTACAATTTTCTGTCAATTCACTGACAAAGCATTTTTCCAATCTGTCTTTCAAGAGTAAAGGAATCTCCTAAGGGAGCAAACCCTGCTTAAACATCTGTATTTCATCTTTAATCTCAGGATCTAAACTTCTGGCAATTAGATGTCACTGGTGCACTGCTGTTTGTTAGTCTGATTCCCAGTAAAAAAATGTATACTTGCAAAATTTTCCCACCCAGTCAGATTGCTGATACAGGGAAGAAATCAGATCGGTAATAAGCTAAGTCAAGAGCATACTTTACTTGTTAAACACTGAAAGCAGCAGTGTCTAAAGAAATCAGCTCAAGTGAGGTATTTTATCAAAGAATCTTAGAATCATAGAATGGTTTGGGTTGGAAGGGACCTTCAAGATCATCCAGTTCCACCCCCCTGCCATGGGTAGGGACACCTTTTACAAACCAGAGGTACAGGGACTATGTTATGGGGCCTGTTAGTACATCTCATCAAATGGTCTTGGACTGGTGGAGATTCTGACAATGGTGCCCGTGGACACCTGAGAGCTCTGTGGGTGCTAGCCCTGGTCAGATTCACCAGCTATTATCAGTATTAGCTCTGACAAGAGCTGCCAAGGTTCACTTCTATCCTAGGCAACATGGGCATTTGCTCTAACAGTTTTGAGGTTTCCTGATGGTCTAAACAGGGTGACAACCAAGATGTTGAGATAGAAGATACAAGAACTACTCCAATTTTGGACCAGGTCATTGCTGTACTGTGATCAAAATCATAGTCCTGTCTTGTGCTTGGTAAGAAAGTACACCATTGGTTTGGTAATGTGAAGAAAAGGAAGGTCTGGAGAGGTTGTGTGTCCATGGAAGCTGTGGCTGCCCCATGCCTGGCAGCGTTCAAGGCCAGGCTGGACAGGGCTTGGAGCAACCTCGTCTAGTGGAAGGTGTCCCTGCCCATGGCAGGGGTTTGGAACTGGATGAACTTTAAGGTGCCCTCTAACCTAAACCAGTCTGTGGTTTTGTGATTCTATGAATATGTGCACCTGAACTTCTGAAGAGATCAAGTGATTTTATGAGGAGAGATTCCACATAAGCACAGTTGTTGGACTTTTAAAACTAGACACAAAGTGTTAAATGTATGTGTTGGTTTTGGGGAATGAGGGGGAGTTTTGGCTTTAATTCTAAAAATGTGTAACTAAAATAGCTGTGCTGAGCCTGTGCAGGCGCTAGGGAGTTTGTAGTGGTGTTGCAAAAAAGATACTTTTCATATGTCTGGTGTTTGCAAGTGCCAGATGAAGGCATGGGCAGAAACGTTATGTACCATTTTGTACAGATTTCAGAAAGTGATTAAACAAAGTTTTGAAGTAAAAACTGAAGTGTAACTTTCCTCACTGTCTTGATTTTTTTTTTGAATTTTCATCTTTCATGTTGTTTTGTCAAGTTTTCTATATATTTCATAAGCTTTTGAGGCAATGAATTGTTCAATATTGAGGAATAGGTGATACTCTGCACTTGAAGTTCAAACTGCATATTCAGTTTTGTGATAATGATTGCAAAATGCATGTATACAATGCACATGGAAGCTCTGAGCATGAGAGGAAAAGTGAATGTGTGAAATAAGTCAATATTAGATTTAATGAAATTCACATTTTTCTTTTTCTTGGATAGTGCATTATGTTATCTGATCTGGTATGGTTCTCCTTGCAGAGGAAGAGAGGAAGACAATTCATGGAAGTAAAGTTGACTCATTGAGGAAAGTATTTTATACTTCTGAATTACCAAACAGAAATAAATGGGATGGCTCACGTGGAAGAAGCAAGAAAATTGGGGTGTCTCTTCTAACACAGCTGCCAAGTGAGAATAAGGTAATGAGTTAACATTCATCCATCTGGACAAGCACCATATTCAAACAGACGGAAATATGTGGAGATACACTGTCTAAGTATTAAAGGCTAGTGGTATTTAATCTCATCTGATGCAGATATTTAAAATGCTACCTTGATGTGTAATGCTTACAGAGGCACCTGCAGGGATCACATTTGGCTGTGGCATTTGCTCTACTGAAGAGCTGCCATAGTGTGACTGATAAATAAGGCATCCTGCAAGGACCTTTGCTATGCCTTCACTGAACACTACAGTTAGTGGTAGGGTTGGCAAAAAGGAAAAGAACTTGAGTGTATGAATGCCGCATGCACAGATTTATTTTGATTTTTGAGGATTTTAGCAGGTCCTGACTTCTGTGTTACAGAAGCTAGATTGCTTCAGCTACCTAAAGTAAACAGTAGGCAGGCCAGCAGCATTTTTAATCTTCTGAAACATATGAGATTAGGGATTTTACTGTGTAGGTTCAGGAAAAAAACAGACATCACCTGAGAGAGCAAAATGGAAATCTTTGTCCACTTGTTAAGGACTTCTGATGTCCTACCTGAATGACAAATACCTAAGCTGTGATCCAGCCTGTACTATTCCCTTCATTAAACTTTTTATTAAAAAAGAAGTACTAGCTCATTTTGTACAATACGCAGAGCAATATACTTAAGTGCTTTCAAGTGATGGGCCTGCCAGGCCTCATTTTCCTCACTACTAGCATGTGCCTTTGAGAAGGAGTCAAGTAAGGCTTTTAAAACAATCACATTCTGCCAACTGACTGTATAATAAATAATCTTTTTGCCATTCTTCTCATGAAGAATATGGTTGCCTAATTGGGATAGACTGCCTTAGGTCTCGTACTTTAGCCCCTTTGAATTGTCTTTCTGCCCCATAAAGCAATGGGTAACTTCCTTTATTCTTTATATGATGGAACAGCTTAATACTTTGTTGTTATAGAACAAAAAAGTTTCAGGCATGGCTGCACATTTTTGTCACATTAGCAGTTTAAGAAACAAATACAGTTATAGTAGAATACATCAGAAAAATTGCTAGCAGGAAGAGGCTGTAACACAGTAAGTTGGCCACTGGAACCTTTAAGCCTGCCCTGAGGAAAGAGTAAAAAAAAACCTGTTATTGAAAACAGTGATTCTATTCTAAATGCTGCTTTTTAGGTGTATTATGATTTCTTGCACTGTTGTTCCAATTGATTCAGTCTAATCCTGTGTATGACTTTAGAGGGTTACCTGCATCTGTTCTATTTTCAGGAACATTGCATGCAGCTTTTTTTTTTAAATTAAGTACACTGTAAAAGATCTGTATATACTAATGTAGGATCTTTGACTGTGGTATGGTTTTGTTTCATGGATGTAAGTATTTCCACCTGTCTGTCTACAGCCAGTGATGAACAAGAGCTGGAAAGCTGGTGGCCCTGATGAAAACAATCTCAGATTGTCTGAAAGAGTGAAGGTTAGGTTTTCTTTGTTTTTCTTCGAAGTGGGGAAGATGAGCAGAACATGCCTGATTTTATCTGTTTTCATTTACAAAGTACTTGCAATACTTTGATGGGTTTTTTTTTTCCACAGGTGGGAAAGAAGGATGAGCATATCACCACCCAGGATTTTTTTTTCTCCCCACTGTTAATGAGTATGTAAAGGTTATGTAGGTGTTGGATGAGAATGGTGTCAAATCAATTCATAAAATTATCTAGGAGCATATTTAATCTATGGAAACACAGCATGTAGTAAATCTTCCATTTGTAACAATATGCACACATAGGCAGGCAAAGGCCTTTGGCTCCCACCTTGCACATCAGTTCAGAGTGCTACATGAAATAAGAAACACAGAATCAGAATCACAGACTGGTTTGGGTTGGAAGGCACTCTAAAGCTCATCTAGTTCCAACCCGCTCCTGCCACAAGCAGGGACACCTTCCACTAGACCAGTCCAACCTGGCCTTGAGCACTGCCAGGGATGGAGCAAGCCACAGCTTTTCTGGGCAATCTGTGCCAGCACCTCAGCACCCTCACAGGGTAGAAATTCCTAAGAGCTCATCTCAATCTCCTCTCTGTCAAGTCAAAGCCATTGCCCCTTGTCCTATCCCTACAGGCCCTTGTCAAAAGCCCATGTATCAAAAATGTAATAATTCTTAGCTTTTTCATTTTTGATTCTGTTCACCATTAGTAGCAAAAGCTTTTCTTTGCCTGAAGCATGTATTATCTCTGTGCCGTATGCAGTGAGCTTGCAAAAACTGCAGAGTAACTTGTCATATATATTTTATTTCTCCACCTTCCCACTAAGTTCCTGAAAAAGTTGATGTACAGCTTGAGGTTCTTTCCCATTGCAGTAATTGATATACAGCAATTTTGGCAGCAGTTCTTTGCTTATAGGTAAAATTATTTCCTTTGGGCTACGTATTTCAAAGAAAATTCATACGCTTTCTTGGAAAAATGCATGGGAGAATGGATAAGATGAAGCAGACTGTGCTGCTTTTTTGCTTTGCTTTGGATTACAGAATATAATAGAATAGTTAGTGTTGGAAAGGATCTTAAGATCATCTAGTTCCAAACCCCATTTCATTATATTATGAAATTTATACATTAATCTACTTTGCTTTCTTTTTTCTTTTTTCTAATGACAGGTAGACAGGGCCGTATATTTGGAAGATACTGACAGATGAAGAGATGTGCAGTGGTAGGGTCCCTCCCCCCACTTCATATTTACTATCATTGTCTGTCTTTGGATGCAAGTGTATGGACTTTGTTTAAATAACTTTTTCTCCTCTAAAAAAGATATTCTTCCTCAGTTGTATTGTTAGAAAATTCCCCAAATCAAAGCATTTATTTATTTACTCTAGGAGGTAATGAGATAATAAATTATAAGGAATAATTATTATACTGTGTCAGTCCTGGTGAGCAGGGCTGGGGACTTTTTGTTCTTTTTTGGTTTTGTTTGTTTGGGGGTTTTTTGGTCAGGTGTTTTTTTTTTTTGTTTGTTTGGATTTTGGTGGGGTTTTTTTCAGAATTGAAAAGAGCTTATTTTTTAGCATCATTTCCACATTTTTTCTGTACTTCTGTTTTATATAGAAATTATTTTGATTACGAAGATTTTTCCACAAAGTATGGTGGATGCTAAGAGACTTCTGTAAAGTGGAAATATTTAATAAGAATGTCTCTACGTATTAAAATTATTCCATCCTGGGGTTAATAAATGAGTCTGATTTTGAATTTACAGTAAACTCCTTTAAGAATTCCAATTAGGAGCATTTGGATTTCTGCTCAAGTGTTCTGTATATCTATAATAATTATAACTCTCCCAACTCTATCAAGTAAAGAGAAACTTAGTGTCCATAGTTATTTGTCTGTCATAGTTGCTTGTGTGGTCTTTATTACCATCAGCATTGATGACCTTTTAGTGATTAAATTATTTTTCCTCATCTATAGCTGTTACTGCACAAAGAAACCAAGCTACACAGATTTGCTTAAGGTCACTGAAAGAAGTTGATACAGAACAGGACTTTGGTCCTTAGTTATTGTTATTTGATGAGTCTGTCTAATATATTAAAGATTTGTTTAGTCTTTCCTTGCTGTAGGTGAGGTCAGAGGGCTTAGAGATTTTTAAGCCCTCTAAACTTCTAGTTGATTTAATATTTGGAGTTTGACTGTAACTCGCAAGAAAATAATAAATCAGCATGTCAGGTTTACAGCGAATATTTTCTCCAACGTGGGTATCTCAGGAAGGAAGAAGTAAGGTAGAAGTGCTGTATCAGGTACAAAAATTTCTTTTGATTGCTGTGTTCAAATGTACCCATTTTTCCCTTTTTAGGACATTGTTTTGTGTTTACGCTTTAATTTCTGGTAATATCTATATTTTCCCAGGGCTTACTAGTGGAAGAATAAACCTACAGTTCACTTGTATCGTAATGAAATGAGAATTGAATCTGTCTAGTTCGTGGAAGTATAGTTAGATAGCTCTGGTTCAAAACAGACCAAAAGTTGGATGATGAGAAATAAACCCCACACTAAAATATCAAGCAGGGCAGTGAGGAAAGAAGAGCTCTGCTAGAGCTTGATAATAGCTCACCACTCTCTGGACCATGTTTCTCTCTAGGTTTTTCAGTCATCTGTGTATTTTTTGTCTGCGGGACTAAATGTTAATCACATTTAGAAACTCCTAGTAAAACAGACTGTATTTGAACAGGATGAGAATTACAAAATGATCCTCTGCTTGTAGTATCTGAATAGCACTTTATGCAAGCCACACTGGGAAAACTTTTCAGTTAGTGCTTTTATAGGTGATAATAAAAACAATAAACATAACATTATACTACCACTACTGTAGATCAGTGTGCGAACTACTCGCTTTTTACATGACATTTGATTTGGCTTTGAATCTCTGCTCTCCTCAGCAATTCTAGGAGACAGCACTCCCTGCACAAACTCTGCACAGTCTGCTTCAGTGCAGAAAGAAACAATTTCAGAGAATCATAGAATCCCAGACTGGTTTGGGTTGGAAGGGACCTTAAATCTCATCCAGTTCCAACCCTTTCCACTAGACTAGAACACCTTCCACTAGACCAGGTTGTTCCAAGCCCCATCCAACCTAGCCTGGAACACTGCCAGGGATGGGGCAACTACATAGAAACCATAGCAACAAAATGCTAATCAAAATACAAAATGGTGTTGCTTCTATTGTTTGTAGTAATAAAGTAATATAAAAAAATTAGCTGTACTAACCACTTAAGTAAAGTATTAATTCTGAGTAATTCCAGTTAGTTTGTTAGTGACGTGAAGTGTGACAGAATTTGAAAGCCATTCTGTTGTTGACCTTTTTAAATGCTGCCACCTGTATGTCAGAACAAATGGTAGATTAAATACTTCTTATTGAGAAAACAAGCTAGGACACCTAGCAAAAAATATCTTACCTTGCTAGTATAACAAGCTTTTATCTCTGCTTGTCATTGGCAGTAGTTGAGTATCTTCATTTTTTGTTTAGCTTTAAAGGGCAGATCAGTAAACTTAGTCAGCAATCGTACATTAGCACAATATTCACACTCAAGGGTAAGTGGCTCAAAGTTTACAGTGTGAGAAGCATGGTACAAAATAGAATCATAGAATGGTTAGGGTTGGAAGGGACCTTAAAGCTCATACATAGGCAGGGACACCTTCCACTAGACCAGGCTGCTCCAAGCCTGGGACAGGGCATTGGAACTAGATGAGCTCTAAGGTCCCTTCCAACACAAACCGGTCTATGATTCTATCATAACAGTTTCGTCCTAATTCAACTTGGAGTGCTGATATACTGTAAACTTTTCAAGGTTTCAGTTCTCTGTTACCCTGCAGAGGTTGAGGAGAATCATAGAATCACAGAATAGTTTGGGTTGGAAAGGACCCAAATATCATCTAGTTCCAAGACTCCTGCCATAGGTAGGGACACCACACACTAAAGCATGTCACCCAAGACTCCATCCAACCAGGTCTTGAACAGTGCCAGGGATATCCAGAAAAATCATGTTGAGGAAGAGGATTTAGTTAAATTATGTGGATTTTTTTGAAGTACAGGGTTCCCTTCAACTGGTAAATCTCTCCCTTTTTTATTTCTTCTTTCTTTGCAATCATTTAACACTGCCGCGATGATTTCACACTAGGTAGGTCTTTGGCGCCAACAGCCTGAAGACTGAGAATCAGAGGAGACAAGAACATTTAGCTTTTAAGTTTTTTCTTTATCACTGCCTCTGTCCTCACATCCCCATCGACAGCATTTTCATGAAGTGTAGTGTCTGAAGGTGGTAAGACCGATGTTTTACCAGCTGAGCATCATTTGGCTACAGTAAAGCTAAAGATACAGACAAAACTTTGAATTTCACTCCTGAAAGTTCAAATCAGATTTGTGTCAACAGATTTATTTTCCTATACTTGTAATTAATGTCAATGGTACAAAATGAGGAAAGAATCCCAACTGAGTAGTGTTCACACATTTAGTAATCACTTTTTGTGGGTCTGTTTTTTGTGTATAGGTGCAAAGGGACTGAACAGAAAATTGCTCAGTTTCCAAATATGCCCTCATTAAAGTGTGCTGGACATGGCTAAACCATTGGAGTTTTCTGCTGTATCACCAGGAAGTTCATTCTTCATGGTGTGAGAGGTGTGTTCCGAAATTTCAGATTTTTGGTATCGCTGCCCCCTGTTATCTCTGTATGTGGTGCCATTGGCAGGATCCAAGGCTTTCCAAGGATTTATTTTTCCTTTCACCTCCACAGGAACATACTTAGTGGCTTAATTAGGATCATCATCCACTAGTGCTGTAACATCAGGCTAAACCAACTGTGAGGTACTGGCCAGAACTTACAATACTGTACCGTTCCTTTAGGAGCTTCTGCTAAGAAGGAAGAGTGTCAAAACTCCCTAATCTTTCTGAAGGAGTTTCTTGATTAAACATTATCAGGGAAAGCAGAATTTACCAATTAGACTTTCATATACTGTCACGCAGCCAGGGTAGAGAAACAAAGTTCATGTCTGGCATGTATACTGGCAAACAGATTGATTACCACGTTCATATGGGGTGATTGAAAGCAATCTGAAACATTGTTTGCATTACTAATGAGCCTTAAAATAGTGGAGTTGACATTCTGAGTATGACAAGTATTTCTTGCTAAAAGCAAAAATACCTTTCCTTCTGTTGTCCTCATTTTTAAGGGTTGCCTTTCTGAGCCATTGCCAGCCTGTTGTGTCACAGTGCTTCCTCCTCATCTTCTCTCCACAGGTTGGTTTGTTGAGAGGGTGAGCCCTCTCAATAAAGAAGTGTTTCTATCAAGAAGTGATACAAACCTCCTGATGTCCAGGCTTTCCTTCCTTCAGTGGTGGTATATATTTATTTGTAACCAGCAGTGGAGAATGCAGTTGCCTTTAAAGGAGCATTCAAATCATCCTTCTGTCCTACAGATAGTTTTGGCCCAACTTCTAAAAGATGGAAAAAAGGAGCTGAAGAGTGTGTGAAGACATGGCATATATACTTGTGGGCTGCACTGTTCTTTTCAGAAAGCTTTCTCATATAACTGATGCAGAATAAGGTAAGATGCTGTGCTGAGAACAAGGACTGGAAGCACATAAGTAACTAGAGATAGATAAAAGCAATCAATGTAATAGGGATGAAAATGAAACCACTTATACATGAATTATGAACTAAAAGACTAAAACCCCAGGAATGAAATACCCCAAAGAATGAATTCATTTTGCGTGAGCTCTTATTTTAAAGAACATTCTACTATACAATTCCAAAGCCCTGCTGGCTTTGAAATACTGTGCAATTCCCAGAAGAAAACTAAATGAAGAATTAAATCATGGATTTTTTTATGAAGGCCTAGCTAGGAAATCATTGTGGTCAAATGCAGGTATATAGGAGAATGAAAAGTGTGTAACTCCACTACTGTGGTAAAAGTGTGCAGGTAAAGGTAAATAGCCATTTCTTCCTTTTAACCCTGGATCTATGTACCATCTTACTGCTTCCTTTAACTAACACTCAAGCAACACTTTGAAAATTTAGTCTTGAGATTTCAAGAGGAAAACAAGCTACTAAAATGTACTATAAAGCTGCAAAGAAACTAGTGTATCAGCCAGAAAAAATAGTAGGTAGTTTTACATAATTATTTGAATAAATTGCAAAATATATGGTCCTCTGAAGTACCTTCATAAAAACATTACTGAGACAAGATAGATCCATCTGTGCTGTAGCAGAGCTGAGACTGATTCATGTTAAAGGATATTTCTAAACCTAAGGCATATCCTTCTGAGCTGTCACAGAAAGCAAATCCACTGTTCCTAATAGACACATTTTGCTTAAATATGTAAAGAAAAAGTGATTCAGAAAGTCTGTGCATTTGTAAACAGTGGACCAAATCCTGACTGTGTGGAAAGGTTATTTGTTTCCATGTCCCAGGTGTAGGGAAGTCCTCTCAGGTACCTCTTTTTTTTTTGAAGCTCTTGGAGGAGCCAACATCCATGAAATATCCTTGGACAAAAGAGCCATCCATCATTGCAGTGGGGAGTATTAGTAGTTCCAGCAGGTGCTTTTACTTAGTGTTTCAGGAGAGTATTTTAAGATGCAAAGATCTTTATGCCCAATGTACAAGTGGTGAAAGTCCAGTGAAAGAGAATTGAATGAGACTGCCCAGTTAATCAATGGCAAGACCAGGATTCAGTCTGGTATTTTATAACTCCTGCTGCAGACATCTCTGCTCAGCACCTTCCTATTTTACTATGAAAGAGATGAACTGAATCCCAGGTGCTCTCTGAGTTTAGGAGTGTCTACATCCTGATTTTTAATTCAGTATCCTCAAGAAAGAAGAGCTACCTGCCTGTTTTCAACCAAGTTAGATTTTTCCTTAGCACAGTGTACTACACTATCTAGCTTTTAGCTCAGGGACCGCATGGATCTGTTTTAAAGATAGCTGCCTATATTATGCAAAAATAAGTCCAGCACACTTTGAATAACAAGCTGCTGCCTGTGTCTGAGCACTACAGGCTTTTACACAGGATTTTGAAATTTATACATTGAATGGAAGGTTGAAGTTGATTTATTTTATTTTTTTTTTTAATTCAACAGGGTCATTACTTCTCCCAGGAGAGGTGGAACAGACAGTGACTTATTGTGCACCCTTTTTTAATAAACCCTTGCAACTGAAATCCAGGACCTTGTCAGTTCCCCAGCCATCTGTCGGAGACTCCATGTCATAGCGATGCGGAGGGAACACAGCACAACCAATATGATTGATAAAAGTGATCCGTCTATTCTGCTTAAGCCTAGGGTATATATAGAGCTAGGCTGCTATACACACATATTCTTGGGAAACTCCTGTGGTTTCATTATTTACAGGCACATCCCTTTTTCTAACATCCTTATTCCTCCCTTCAAGATACTCGTTAACTACAAGGTCAGTTTATCCCCCTGCACAGCTGGTGGTTTTTACCGAGCTGGGTTTCTTAGTGACTTTTACAAAACTGGTCCCTGGCCAAGTTCAGCCATGGGAACGTAACCCTTGCCTGCTAACCACTCTTCCACAGTTTCCCCTTTTTCTTTTTCAAGCATATTTGTTACAATTTTCATAAGGCTTTGCTGAATACATTGCATAATACAAGGCAAACAAATCGAGATAAGCAAAAGCAAGATACATACAGGCAAAAAGTGGCTTAAAATACTGCTTAACCATGATCCTAGTCCCAGTGATCTTAACCAAGAGGTGAGGTCCCAAGAGTCACCCTCCTTTAACTTCTGCAAGTTGTCTTTGAGTTGTTGCAGCTCCTTGTGAATAGAGCTACTATGGTCTGAGAGATTCATGCAACACATACGGCTCTCTGCTAACAGGGGAGGCCATCCTTCACATCAAGGTCTGGCATGGCATGTGTCCCCACTGCTCCACGCCTGCTGGGTTGCAGCCAGCAGCAGAGCTAAATGTTCTTCTTGGTGGCAAACACAAAGGCCAACCCAGTCTTGCCCTTGATTGTGGTAGCAGGCATTTGGTCAGCCTCAGTCCTTGCACCTTGTTGTCAATGCAGTTTCACCTGCTTCATTCAATAACAAGTTGTTATTACGGCAAGGCACACACACAGATTTACATTAGCAGAGTAACTATTACAGGGTGCAGCAGCATGTTGAAGATGCTGATGCCAGCAAGGGACTAGCCAAAGAAATTTTTTACCAGTGGAATTCTCTCACCCTCTTAATTTGTTCCATTACTTGCTTTATAACACTACCATTGTATTAAAATATTTATATCTTTTGCTTTAGTATTTTCTAGCAGCTACTACAAATTTGCATGCTTTAACATCTCTTTTACAAGTGACAAATCTATACAATACAAGGTGTAGTTTCTTATCAGCAACTGGCTAGTAAATACAGGTGGTTTCATACACAAAATCAAAGCCTCTAACAATAGCTACTTTACAAACACACATATTCGAGCTGTTACTTTTCAGTTGCCGCCAAATGATGTTTAGCAATCATTGGTTTTTCTCTTCCTCTATCTCATTCTGCTTGGGGTATTCATGTTCAGGTCCTGCAGCTGAGGCATCTCGGCTTCCTCCATTCGTCTGTCCAGCTCATGGCAAGGCTTGACAAACTTTGCAGTCAGTTGCCATGGACCTGTAGGCAGGAGGACACAAATATACCCCCTCCTCCAGGTTATCAGTTCTTGAGAAGTAGATAGGTTCTTTATCTGCCACCCTGCTGCTGCTTAGGTGACGGCTCGCAAGGCTTGTGCTTGCACTACCCCTCTCTCTTTTTCAGTTAGCAGTTCTTGTTTCAACCGATCTATCTGTTCCTCCAAGTCTTGGATTCATACTTTAAACGTATTAAGCTTGGTTTTGTTTTATTTTGTTTTGTTTTTTCTCTCCTGGCCCTGGTGTACATCCTGGTCCTTCCACCGGTGGAGCACCAGGAGCCGAATCGGAGGGCAGCTGTTTTTGAACATGGGGACTGAACTCTTATCAAATAACTTTTTTTTTTTTTTTTTTTTTTTGAAGTTGCTCACCCTGCTTTGCACGGCTACAAACGCCTCCCTGCCTGGCAGCAGCTACAGCAGCCTGCCTGCTTCAGCAGCAACCATAAATACCTGCCGGCAACCTCACGCTTTCATTAACCCTATCTTGTCTGAAATGTTAAACTACTCTCTATTAGAAACTTTTACATGAACCCAACAACAAAAAATACACAGAACACTGTCTGCCCTCAACACACACACAGACACACACATACATATGGGATCCCACAAGCACAGTCCACGCAACTACAATATTTGAAGCACAAAATCCCAACAACCATTACTTCCGCTACACAATTCCACGTACAGAACGTGGCACAAGGACCCTGTGGAGACTAACAGGAAAACCAGCTCCAAGAAGCATCATCGCAGTGCGAGGCAGCAGGCTCAACCTTAGCAGGCGTCCCTGCAGAGGCTCTGCCTCCCCCCACATTGCATGAGGCTTCGGCTTTTATACTGACCAAAACGCACACTCATTCCGACACAGGTGGCCAGCCTATGTTGGAAGAAGTAGCCAGCAGTATTTATAAAGGTCTCCAAAGGTCGATAGAAACCTGGACGTACTTATTTTTACCAACTTCTAGTCCATGAGTATCACAGAGAAAATGTATTGAGTTGTATATGGGGTCATAAGTCCACAGTCCATCACAGACCTTTCCACTGCGGGTCTTGATGCAGAACTTTAACGTAAAAAAGGTTGCTCCCTTCACCTTAAGAAGGACTGAAAACATCCATAAAACGGATGTCCTAAGATCAAATTTCAGTTCATTCAATCACTGACAAGGGGGGGTGTCCTGGGGTGGTGCTGACTCTTTCCAGTGCTTCACCCATCAATTTCTGCACGTCAAACAAGGTTTTTATCTGTGTGGTAATTTTAACTTTTTTGAGGCCTAATTTCAGTTCCGGAAATGATCCACCCGAGATATTTCCAAGGGCTTTATGTTGCTCTCTGTCTGGTGCAATTACCAGTCCTGCTTTCGCTAATTCTGATTGTAGCAGGTAGAGCAGATGGTCCTTGTTTAAATCTTTGCCTGCAATTAGGATATGTTATGTATAGTGGTAGATAACACATTTTTGCAGTTTTTATCGGATTGGTTGCAATACTCAGGCAACATACAGTTGACAAAGAACAGGAGAATTTTTCATACCTTGAAGTAAAACAACCCATTCCTATCTCTTAGCAGGCTCTCCTTTGTTAACTGCTGGGACAGAGAAAGCAAATTTTTCACAATCGCTTGGGTGTAGAGGAATTGTGAAAAAACAGTCTTTTAAATCAATTACTATTAAATCCCAACCCTGAGGTATCATTAAAGGGCTAGGCAAGCTAGGTTGCAAAGCAACGACATTCAATTGTTTTGTGTCCAAATTTGTTGACATCTAATACATTTATCTGCAAAATGAATAACACTATTGGGGGGCGGCGGGCTGCTGAATTAATTTTCTTTACAGTACACTGTTTCTTTTTAAAATGTCCCGTCTGTCCACAATTATCCCCCCACGATTGCCCTAACCTGATTGTAAAAGGGGTTTAACAGCAGCAGAAAAGGCAGTAGCCATGTATCCAGCCTTTTCCTCTGCTGTGCTCACTTTAAATCACATCTGAAGGTGGGGAGTAAGCAACAATTGAGCTATCATACAGATATCATATGGTGTTAAGATATATGCAGAAAAAATACGTCCAGTATACGATGATTTTAACCCGTAGGTTGTTACCAGTTGACGCACCTCCTTTACTACCTTTAAATCCAATGCCTCCCACTCCTTTCCCCACTGTGGAGTGTTAAATACCAGGAATGCCGAGGGACACATAGCCGAAAATTCCTCCATAACAATTGCATTTTTGATCATCCCTCGCCAACCTTTAGCAGGGTTATTACCGTAATCCCCTCCCCCATGCCCAACACCCCCCTCCCACTCCCCTTTCTTTACTCCTGGATTGTAGGAGGGTGGGCCAGAGGGTTCGGAGGTTTCTTTTGTCTCCAATACTTTAATTTCTTCAGCAGCTGCCACAGTTGACCATCAGTGAGGCTGGTTCGCATCTGCCAACAAGCCGAACTGTCTGAATTGTCTGAGTCTGAGTCGGGATCAGGAAGGGAAGGGTACAAGTCCGGTTCTGCCGGAGACTCTGGGTCTGGTTTCAATTCCGATTTGGGGTCTTCTTCCTCTGCGTCGAAGGTGTTCGCGTTTGCACTTTCTACTTGTACTTTCGGACGCGAGCACTGTTTCACTTTATCTTCCTGCTTATGCTGAGGAGTCTTCTGAGGTGCATAATCGAGAAGGGCGGTAAACTCTTTCCCTAAGTCTATTTCTTTCCCTATACCTCGCTTCTCTAAGAAGCATTTAAATAAATCATAGGCTGCCTGTCTTTCCATATCCATTTTTATATTCCTCACAAATTACACAGCTTTTTATATTCTTACACAGCTTTTTACATTCTTACACAGCTTGCTATTCTTCGCAAGTTGCACAGCTTTACACAGCTTTACACAGTTTTACAGAGCTTTTTATATTCTTGCAGCGCTTTTTATATTCTTACACAGCTTTTTATATTCTTACACAGCTTTTTATATTCTTCATGAATTACACAGCTAGCTTTTTATATTCTTCACGAGTTACACAGCTTTGGTGCCAATGCAGCTTACCCCACAGACAGACAAATTAGCGGGCGGTGAAGGCAGAGGCTCCTCTACCAGTGAACTGGCTCCTCTCCTCCAGGTCCTCGAGGCAACTCGGTACTCTTGTCCAGCAAGATCGGTGCCTTTGACCCTCCAGATGCTGCTTTTCTGGAGCTTCCCCACTCTGCTCGCGTCGACCCCAGCCTCTACGGATACCTGGGTTTCTTTGTCTTGCCTGGGTCTAAGTCCCTTGTTCGGGCGCCAATTTGTCAGAGACTCCATGTCGTCGCAATTCGGAGGGAACACAGCACAACCAATATGATTGATAAAAGTGATCCATCTATTCTGCTTAAGCCTAGGGTATATATAGAGCTAGGCTGCTATACACACATATTCTTGGGAAACCCCTGTGGTTTCATTATTTACAGGCACATCCCTTTTTCTAACATCCTTATTCCTCCCTTCAAGATACTCGTTAACTACAAGGTCAGTTTATCCCCCTGCACAGCTGGTGGTTTTTACCGAGCTGGGTTTCTTAGTGACTTTTACAAAACTGGTCCCTGGCCAAGTTCAGCCATGGGAA